AAGTTATCTTCTCAGAATATTTGTACCAGTGAGACTTGATCGTGCAAAGAGAGAACCAGCCATGCAGTAAAAGGGAATTAGTTTAAAGGAGAATATCCAATTAACTGCTTTTGAGTTTGGTTTGGGTTTTTTAATAGTTGTTTTTAATTTATTTTTGTTTTAAGGGAGAACATTAACAGCACAACATACTGAGAGATGCAAAGCTACTTTTGGTATCAGAAGAGCTGTCTCTAAAGTTGTACTGTAAAGGCTAAAAGTGACAGAAAATATACAAGAATAACGTTTTCAGCATTGGTGCGTGATGACACTTCTTACCTGAACTGCCTCTTCAAGACGGGTGGGACACAGGGCCCAGCAGAATGGAAATTGGCTCAAATGAGGAACACGTGAACAGGGAGAGCTAGTTCTGTTACCAGAGGCGTATTTCAACAAGCAATGAAAATTTGGGACCTTCCGGAGGACATACTTGTTTAGAAGCTCATGAAGTTTTCAACTCTATCCCAGTTTTCCCGCTATATCTCACGGCAGGAAGCAGATTTAATCCTCCTTCATGAGGAAAGAGCACAGGACAGGAGTAGGGACCCTTCCTACAGGAAAGCAGGACAAGCATTTCAGTTATCAGTGATGGAGACAAGCCTACAAGACATGCCATGCTGCCGTTTGGGGAAACTCAACATCCGTTAGATACTGAAATTAACACCAGAATCCTTCGAGTCAATCTTTCCTGTAGGGAACCCAATTCATTTTACATGAGGAAAAAGAAAACATAAGCCAGCACAAAATCCCCAATCTCTGGTGCCCTCACGAATGCTCTCCCCAAGCCTCCCTGCACCAGCAGTGAGGTCCTGGGTCCGGCACTGGGGCAACGCGGAGTTACTGCATTCCGGTGCCAAGTGGCCTGGCTGCCGTAGTCCAAGGCAGGCAACGCAACTGGAGTGAGTTGAGGTTTCTTCAAAACAGCTTCTATACCCAAAATAGCCCATGCAAAATCCAGACCAGAGTGCCACAACACTTTTACTTGGCCAAGGGCATGTCTCAGTCTCCCCCTAGCCCAAAGCCATTTATCTCACCCCACAGAGCGTAGCTGTGGACCTGACTGCCCCAGGAAGCTCTCCCTTCCCAGCTCTCACCCACACAGCCAACAGCTTCATCCTGGCGCAAGCTCAGACTCAAAATCCACAGCCAGAGCACTCTTACATGCTCCCAGGGCCTCTCTTCACCTTGTGCATGAGAGAGCTGCTTGGCCTCTGCAATGCCCTGGCCAGCTGCAGGACTACAGATACAAACAGAGGTAGGTACATCTTCTGGAGCGCCCTGCCAACAGTACAAACCCCTATGATTCAACCCCACTACTCTCCTGCAGGAAGAAAACCAGCTGGCAGTAAGGGTAGACCCAAGTGGCAAACCACAGCTTGCCCAATACTCTTCCGTACCAAGAAGCAGGGAGCTGGGAAGAACCTTCTGCCATATGGAGTTCAGCTCAGTAGCCACGGTACCTCCTTTGCATGCTTTCAGAGCTTAGGAAAATAATGAAGACACTTGTCCCCAAAGCTGGAAGAATCACCTCACTAAGGAGGTGGGCAGACTAAAATCCAGCCTAGTTTTTTTTCCCCATCAACACTGCCTTTATCTTAGCCTGTGACCATCGGGGTGACATTTACAGAGGACAGGCACAACCCCCAGCCCTTCTTCCACCTGCACGAACAAGCCAAGCTCACTGGGTGCCTTCCTTTCATTTCCATCTGCTCCGGCAGACCTGTCTTCAAGGGACGAACCGGAATTGCCCACAAGAGCCCAGAGGAGCTTTTCAAAGCATTGGTACGATGGCACCAACATTTCTTCATCTAGCTGGAAGCGCAGTGCCCAGCACTGCCGTGGGGGGTCCGAGTCCTTGCCCACTCCCGGGGATAAGCCCAGGCAGCTGTGGCACCAGTGCGGTTAATGCCCAGCCTCCACATCCGAGACAGCCCTAGGCTCTGCCTGTAATCTAGGAGAGAAAGAAGTACTTTCAGGATGTAATACATTAGATCCCTTTTCAACATCTAATTTAGGATTAAATTAATTATACCCTAGAAAAATTTATTTCTCTCTAAGGGATTCTGGACAGTGCTCAGGCAGTGATACCCATATCCACTGATGAATCCTGCACCTTGTGATTGACTAGTCAGGCACGAGACTTTCTCTGGCAAACTCATTGCACCCATTCTTCTATTTTATTCATTCACCTCATTCCCTTTTCCATCATAACTTATTATAAACCTTGAATACTCAAGGCAGTATCAAGAAGTCTGCAGGTGCCTAGATCTCCTATTCATCTTTTTCTTTTAAAAATCAGTTCAGTTTTGTCAGTCCCATAGTATCATCTTGCATTTTAAAAGCTTATTCAGGTCCCACTAAGCCACAGTTTCAAATGCTGCGTGTCAGACAAATTGTATCTGCTCCCCCAAAGCGTGCAGATGGGAAAAGCTCCCGCCAGTTCACGTGGGCACATTTTATTTCTATCATCCCACACACCCTCTCCTGTTCCAAACTACCTTAGTGAAAACTACGTGTCCATCCAGAACCAGAAAACATCTTGGCCTCTCCCTCACCTTCACCTCTAGCTGGAAACAAACAGAAGTCAGCATGACACATCGGTTCTTCTCTCACTCCCATTTCCTGATGTCCCCAGTGTAAACTCCTTGACTGATGAATGTTTTTCCCCATCTTACAAGTCCTTGCCCTTGTTAGGCTAGGCTTGCAGCCTTCCTCCACGCAAACTTCTCCCCTTTCAGTAGGGGAAACTTCCAGGTGATTTCTCAGTCTTTGGTAAGAGTTCAGACCTCCTGTATGCTACCATCCTCAAGATTTCCCTTCCCTGTGACTTCAAAAACTAGTTTATTTCATGTCACAGTAATTATCTCCCTAGACCTTCTGCACCAAAAGCAAACAGTTCTCTACCACTGTCAGCAGGCCCTCTGCTGAGTTTCCAGGGGTGTTTTAGTTTGGTTTGGTTGTGGGGTTTTTTGTTTTTACATACACACATGCACATTTTGTTTACTGTTTACTAAAAGCAAGACCAGACATTACCTTTGCTCTTACTAGCTCAACGACCATTTGGGGTGGATAAACCAGAGCACAGTTTAGAGGGGAAAGAGGTAATAGGTTTGATACCCCACAGTTCTCCCAAACATCACGCTGTACCTTTCAGACTGGAAATTGGTTTATAAAGTAAAATCCATGCTTATACTGTTATTTAATAAAGCTGTTAATTGGGGGTTAGATTAAGATCTCAGCACACAAACAGCACCAACACTGAATCCGTCCCTTTCAGCCTGAACTCCAGCTTGTATCGCACCCTGCACGGCAGCTCCTAAGGGAGAAGCGCTCGGTGCTGCTGCGCTGTTTGTGCTCCACAGCTTGCGGAGATGGGAAAGGCCTGGAAGACCCATGTATGTGTTCTGAAAACTAAGGTTTCCCCATATACACACATTCGCATTCTTAGTTAAGGCTCAAAGCTGGAAGTTATCAGATACTAATTTGTTTATGTAGGAAGGAGGCTATCAGGAATACTAAATGCAGCATTTTAACTCAATTCAGCAATAATTCAACGCTGCATTCCCATTTGCAAATACATACAATTACTAGACAGAAATGTAGCACCTGTGCTTTTAAAAAACAGTAGCACCATCACTACTTTACCTTTGCTTCTGGACTCCCCAGGACATTCCTCAGGTATGTGTTTGGACAGAGAAGGCCCCAGTTTCTTCATCTGCTTACGCTCTCTGATTGAAAGGAGGGGAAGTTCCTTCTTTTTTATTTCTCTTTGTTTTACTTTGGGGTTGGAGGGGCACGTGGGTGGGAAGGGCTGGTTTGTATTGAAGGTTAGGAGTTGAAAGAGTCTCAAACAACTTGGCTAGAAATGTGGATCCCTACCCTACAATACCGGTACCATGCTCTCTCACCAGGAAAACCGCAAAGATGTTTTCCAGGAAGGAAACATCCTCAACTCTTAAAAATGCTGTCTGTGCTTCCAAAACCCCAAATCCGTCTCCCTCTCCACCCCCTGTGCTTTACAATATAGAAAGGCATGACTAATTCTTGCCCTCCATACACTACAGCACTGGAAGCCACCACAATACCTCGCTGTATTAGTTCTGCTGCATTCAACACGTGGGAGCAAAGCAGAAAACTCCTTGTCACTTGTCCCGTGCCAACACCACCCAGACCCACAGGGTGCCCCTCCTGTTGAAGGCAACACCACAACACGAAGCAGTTTCCCCCCAACTGCCCTGTAATGTCTTGTCTGTGCTTCTGCAATTAGGGCTTAATTGCACCCAGCACGTGAGGACAGGAATTACCACCTTCCTGAAAATCCCAAGGTTCAACCCCAGCGCAAAATTTCCTGCCATTTTGAGCGTCTGTGACAGCAGCATCTACACACTGCTGAGCTCCAGGAGTACGAGTCACCTTCTCCTAGGTATTTTAAATGCATTCCTCTCACTGCAGGACACGGATGACAATCTTGTTGAACTGTGCAGCCAAGTGCTAGCTCTCTGCATGCAGCACACAGCAGTTTAATCTCCAGGCCGTGGTTACAATAGCGATGACCCTGTCTGCCAGTCTCCACCCACACCCTTCAAGCCACACTCCAGCTCTACCCCCTCGAGACCAGCCAGCACCCCACTCCCACCCGCAAACTGTCTCGCGACGGCGCTGCCCATCGCCCGAAGGCGGCGGCCGTGCCGGCAAACCCCGGCCGGCTCTCCTGACCAACATCCGAAAGGAAGGGGGTCAACTGCATTCCAGAACCACATATATTACATCAATAACACTTTACTACATGTTTTATTACATCAATGGCTTGAAAAAATTTTATTTGATGTCAGCAAACATTGGAAATCATAGAAAAATGAATTATGTAGAATTTCACAAAGGAATTTACCCCACTATAATTCCTCATACAGTAAAATAATTCAAAACCAAATCTTACTTTTCAGTGGCTAAGCAATTTTATAATGCTATGAACATTCATCACAGTAAGTGTGCTGAATAATAGAAAACAGGCAAAAAAGACATTTAAAATATTACTTACAACAGCATTATTACAACATACTTTCTTTAAAATCCCAACGAGTATTTTATCACTTCAAAAGCTATACAGCATTTCCATTATATTTGCAAACTTAACCTTATACATCTTTTAAAATCTTGAAAAAACTTCTTTTAAGCAATCTATAAGCAGTTAACAAAATTGATAAAATCTACATAATGGAATACTATACACTCCAGTATAAATTTTATTTTAGGAGAATATGAATGTAAACACTCATTATTATACAACATGCATAGACTATACTGACCTTCCATCTTCTGAACTGTAACTTTCACTGCAATTGTGCTTTACTATCAACAGGAAAAGCTGCATTAATCCAGGGAGTGGCAGAAAGTATTTGCTTTAGGGGCATTGCACAAGATCACTAGATTTTGACTTGCTGAAGACAAGCTGGAGCTAATAAAAATATTTTTCCTTTTTTTTTTTGTAAAGACTAAGTATCAGGCCACTTATCACTGAGTGGGCTACGTATAATTTCATACAGATTTGAAAAAATGCATTATCAGAAAAATTTCCTAAAATATTTTTGCGTTTCATTGACTTGGAGATTTATGTTTGCAAATCCAGCGATCAAGTTAGTGTAATGCACTGTTTGGCTCATATTTGGTGTGCAAGAATACCAACAGCATATTAGCAATTTAGAGAATAAAAACTGAAATTTAAAGTGACAATGAGCATATTTCAATACATAATGTTTCAGATGTATTTGTACAGGAAAGAAAAATGTTTGTCAGGACATTGCCTTAGGAGAATAAGAGTTTCACTCTTATATTAACTATTAAAAAAGTGTTCTAGTGGATATTCATGGGGTCTTCCTGGTTGCAAACTTGTAAAAATATATTAAGAATTCATTATCCCCATTGGTATTAAATATATCAAGACACAACCACTGTGGTTGCACTACCAGTTATGGCTACTATGGTCTTAAGCATCTGATTGTACATTGTTGCTATATTGTTAAGCACAACTGAGGCATGTATTTTTTTTTTTTCCCTTGGTTAAAAGATTATACTACAAAAATTGATCATTGTTTCAAACCAGTTAAACACGAATATTCAAGTAACAAGGTTGTTTTAATGGATAAGCAAAAAAAGAAGTTACCTAGCACTTTACACAACTACATAAAAATTAAATAGAACAAATGAAATTTGTTTATGCATATGCAATACACTTTTATATCTTTAAGATTTCTAAAACTAAAACTTAAACTATCATTTTCTTTAACGATACCATATTTTGCACAATAACTTATACTTAGGAGAAATAATTTCCCATTTTCCACAAAATATATATAATTATGACATTCACATTGATAGTTTAAGAAACAAAATTTAAGTGAATATTCTATCTTATGCAGTTATCTTTGTGGACCCTTCTAATCAGAATGCAACCAGTTGATGTATCTAATGCTTGACCCATTTAAAAAAGAAAGAGAGGGTCTTCACCTAAACAAGACCAAACCATTTAAACTTTCTAAAGCTAAAATGATTTTATCGCATTTAAAAACGTAGTTAAAGAGAATGTAAAAAACTAAACGTTTAAAATACAGTGCTATTATATTGTATGTATCAACTACAATAAGATAGCAGTCAACTGAAAAGTAATTAAACAACTTTTTTCTTCCTAATGTCATGAATTATATACGTTTCCCCCTACCCCTTGGGGATGAAGCCAAAACACAACTTTTCTGATCATAAAATGGACAGATTTGAGGGCAAAAACCGATGAAAAGTCCTCGCAGGTAACTTCACTCACCAGCAGAAGCCTCTCCTGATGAGTTTCACCAGCTGGGATGCAAGCTCACACAACCCTCACAGGGGCGAGGACCTGTCTCCCTGCATTGGTACCAGCAGGAGGTTTAATACTAGAGTATTTCTAATGAGCGGCATTGCTTTACACCACAACTGTCAGCTGAATTCACAGTGCTATTTGCCCGGTCTTTAATCCTAATACACACTGGCTAACAACTAGTGTCCTTTCCCACAAGAGACTCCCAACTTCAACTGTCACAGGACTGAAGGAACGCCTGCAGGGCCACCGTCACAGCTGCCAGGTCCCATCAACAGCTGTAGAGATGCTGCCACAAATTTGGGATTGCAGGTTCCCAGCACAGGGGGAGAGGGAATCGCTCCCCTTTCCATCCTACCATCGCCTCAAAGGATCTCTCTGGAGCTACCAGAATGAAACGGCTCAGAAACAGCTGCAAAGTGGCTGAAACAGGCCCTTTTTGGGTTCCACACTCGAGCTGGCCTTAAGAAATGCCTGTCTGCTCCTTCACCTATTAGCTGTTGCTCGATTTCTGATACTGAATTACTTTCCTCACACAAGGCCCAAGGAGACCACCTCAGCGGTACATGAGGCTGTCTCCCCTGCCTTTCCTCGCGTTGAGTCTACGCCGCGGGAGGTGCAGCCACGGCTGGCTCTGCTAGCCAGCTGGCGTTAGCCTGCCTCGCTCGGGTACAGGGAACAGCAGAGCCACTACAGCACACGACACGGCACAGCCCAGCAGCTCAAACATCAGCACCAAGTTTGGGGCTAGGCTCCAAGCCGCAGCACCTCAGCTGCAGGCCAGGAGACGGACTAGCTCATTTCAGGTTGTGTTAAGAGAGGCTGGTGCCAAACGTTTCCGTGTGCCATCTCGGCTTGAACCCTCTGTAGAGGAAGAGAGAGGCAAAGAAGGTCCTTTTTTGCACTTGCGAAGACACCTGGTGGTTTCTTCCAACATCACTGAATTAACCATTTTTAAATGCTTTGTGACTAGTGTTATGTTGCAGCTTTCCACTGGGCAACAAATAATACTGCTGCTTCTAGCTTCTCTGAACACTGTCTGCTCGGCAGTCAGCAACTGCCTTGTTCAAGGTGTGAAGTCCACACACAGGACTTTCAAGAACAGCTCCAGTTCAAGCCAGCTAGATAGGCCACAGCACAGGTCATCTGAGCAGAGGGCTGGGGATTTGAAAGCTGCATGCACCAAGTATTTGGAAAAGCACCTCTTAGATTTCAAATTGCATATTTTGGTTCAGAACATGAAAGCGATGTGTGCTTCAGAAGGGTTAAAATGGCCAATGAAATTAACCCGGTTCTTCTCCATTAAGCTTCCGAGAGACCAAAAACTACCTGAAGGTTGAATTTTGTGCTCCAACCCTCATCCAGACTTCCAGTGGGAGAAGTAGTTGGATGTCTTTGGCAAACAGCGCTCTGAAGAGGAATGAGACACTGGGACAGAAAGTGACCTATGATAGCCAAATGTAAAAAGGCACATATTCCAAAAGGAGAGGCACCAGAGAAAGTTGTTTTGACTTAATCCCACAGAGGATCAGGAAAAAGAAAGTTGTGTAGCACTCATTTAACAAGTTACAATGCAAATGCTGAATGCCAGGGGTTAAATAGCGTATCAAACAGTTTCAGGTTACGTTATTCCCTTTTGCACTAAATAAAAGCCATTAAAATATACAGGAATAAAATGCTCATTTAGGGAGCTTTCTATGAAGCAAGAACACACAAATACAGTGGAAAGAATTGCACAAACCAGAAGTGTAATGAGTTAGGTCTACAACCTTGGACTGACCAAACCTTAGAAATAACATTTCCTATCACTTTGCATTATTCAAGATTGCTTGTTAACATGCCCTGTCATTTCAGAACAAACCTGACACCACTGGTATGTGCACAGGCCTCTCCTTTATAGAAAGCTCGCTAATAATAGTGTCATCGTAAGAATACACAGGAAGCGGAGACCACAAGGCCATGCAGCAATACGTACTTATACCCTACAGACCAAGTATTATAAGAACTCCTAACGTGTAGAGTTACTGGGGGGCTGCTAAGGAGCTCCTTGTTTTGCAGGTTGGTCAAAATTTACAGACAGGTGTTACTGGTTCTAGAAATCCCCATGCTCAAGCAGGATGCTGATGAAATGAAAAGCTGAGCTACCTGGGTGCTTTTGAAAGAAAGTGGAGGCAGTATGGAGGAATATGGGGAGATTAAGGCAGATGTAGCACAGGACTGGAAGCGTTTGCCTTTTTTTGGTAATAGCTGCTTGTCCACAGATATGATGCAGATGGCTGTCTGAGGTTTGCTAATACCTGATATCCTGGATAACACAGTAGTCAACACAAATTGTTCTAGGCTACAGCACCTTCTCACGAAGCAGATGCATATCTGACATCAAGAACAGAAGTAGCCTGGAGGGAAGGGGGAGGGGGAAAAAAAGGAGACGTTTAGTTTAAAAATGAATACACATAGGCTTTCTTGCATCTCCAAACTTCACCCCAGATCTGTGGTACTGAAAGCGACAAGACGGACAACTCTCACACATGGGAGGAATCACAGCAGCCTCCTCTATTCTGAGATTTGTTGGGAGTGTAAACATACAAGAATTAAGACTGGAGTTGAGGTTGCTTTATGATCAACAGTCTCACCTCCCCCTCTCAAAAAGAAAAAAAGTGACAAACAAATGAAAAAGAGAAAAAAAAAAAAAAATAAAAAAAAGGAACTGTGGCCACTTGCTATGAAAACACACTGAAGGGGAAAGCCCAGAGCAGTCAGAGGGCTGACAAAGCTTTTACCAGTCTGGCAGCCACCACAGACAAGGCGTGCCAGGGGAGAAAGCACCTAAGTGGCCTCACGGTCAGGCCGGCAAAGTCTTCTCCTGGCTACTGCTGACTGAGCCCACCTGATCTGATCAGCCTGTGCAAGTACTCTCAAGAGCAGGCACCAGCTGCATCGTACTGTGCAGCTCAGGAGAGACCAGGAACCCCCCTCCGAACCCATATGTATCACTTATGCGATAATCCCAATGACATTTCACTTCGCCCCCAGACCTGCTCAGACAGACACCCAGTCAGCACTGTGCTTATGTTACCTCTGAAGGCAGGAGCACTGCATTTACAGCCAGCCTGAGAGGCAATGTCTGATGTGCTCACAGCACATGGTGGTCATTAGATGTCCACGCTGCAACACCCCTGCGTCCCTTCCTGGTGCATTTTTATAGAAAGCTGCAGGCTTGGTAGTTACAATCCACTCCATGCTGCTAGCACCTTCCTCCTCCCAGCTGTGACACATCAGTTCCCACCAGCCAGAACAGGCTGCATCAAGAACCACCAGCCACATCGTGCTGGTGTAAGGCATGCATGGGATGTCACGGCTGGCAGCTCCCTGCCATCCTGCCTGGCTCCTGCCTGTGTCAGCCTGGTGCAGGCAGGCTCTGCCCTCACCCCTTACAGTACTGCAGGGCACAGTGAACTGCTCAACTCTCTTGATAGCTGCCTTTTCTCTAGGCTTTGCAACTAGTCCCACCAGCCTAGTATTTTGGTGCCCTTTCCACCACTCAGCACTTGCTCAGCTCCAGCCTGGGCACTTTCCATCTCTAGTTTGGGGATCACGACTGCTGCTCTACCAGCCATTTCACCAAACCTTGCTGTCATGCCTCCACTCTCCTTCTGCCCCTGCTAACTTGCCTGGGATCCTCACTGCTTCAGTATGCACACACTTGGACACAGGGGCACACTCCAGTTCCTGCTACAACCCAACACATTTTCTTCTTGTCTCGAGTGAGACTCTCCTTTTTTGACTGCAACTTTCAGGAGCAAAGGTGCATTTGAAGCCAGGAAAAATCTCAGAGGGCTCAGAGAAAAGCTCTGCACTGCTAACAGATGCCACTCTGCTGGTCACAGGAAAAGGCAGTGACAAGCCATTTGTCTTCCAAATGGGTGGCTACATACTGGTACCATTGCTTCTTCTCTCCACCTCTCAGTTCTGGAAGAATTGGACCATTTCATTCACACCCTTCTGAGAAGGCAAGTTTTTTGAGTTTGGTTTTGTTCACTTATCATACTTTTAGACCTAGTCCCCAAATACAAGCATCTTTGATTAACACATTATTAGAATTTGTGAAGCAAAAAAAATACTCTCCGAATGCCTGAATGGCAACATACAAGTGAGGCAACCATAACCAGGGCAACAAAAATATACAGTATACCAAGATGTCTTTAGTTCACATGAGACTGAAATTTGCCTTATGCTGTTGACTGTGCTTGCATTTAGAAGATAGGGCTGTTGTGCCAAGCCGTCTTATAAAATTAGGCCAAAGGGAGCCCTAGATCAGACATTTTTAACATGCAAACCTCTAGTGGTGTTTTCTTTTGCAAGATTGCATTAATATTACATTTTTGCAACTAACTTTGATATTTAAACATTCTACAGTCTCTTAGTTAAGTTTAAACACACATTGTCTTTGGAGAAGTGTTATCTCCGTGAAGCTCCATCAAGGAGAGGCTGTTTCTAGAATTTCTGTCTTCACAGAAACTGCTGTAAAATCAAGGAAACTTTGTCTATAGGAAATTCCAGAGTGAACAGTTTCACACATTCGCCTTGTTTATAGCTGTCTTCCCTTCCCCTGAGTGAAGCCGCTCCTTCGTCAAAAAGGAAAGAGCGAGCTTTGCCTCAGAAGACTGTACGGTCCCACAAAGCCAAACCTAGAACAGCTTGGAGAACTGAGTGCAGGGAAACCATCCAAGTGAGATAAGGGTGTTTCGGCAGCAAGAGGCATTAAAATGTCCATGTGCTGATGACATACAGATACTGTCAGAGGGTTGCAAATTAACTGTTCTCTTTCCACTTTCATGTATGTCTGGAATTCCCAGTTCCCAAAATCAGTACTGGAATCTGTATATCCAGAGGAAGTAAAATATGCTCAGATTGAAGATTGTCAAAAATGGCTTTTACAAAGAGTGCGTATGTATACACACACACACACACCCCCCATCTGAACTGAGCTCAGATTGGGAATTTTATGTGACTTTTAAATTGGATTTACCTCATCTTCCTCTTCGGACATTTTAGTGGAATTATCAGGGGATTTTACAGGTTTCTGGCTATTGGTTCCATTTGTCTCCTCTTTGCCATGCTCTGCCTCCCATTCCTGTAGAACTTCATCTATGTTGAAACGACGTCGATAATTTACAAAAAAGTTTTTCACTTGCACCACAGATTTGTTTCCGATCACATCAGAGATTGCCTGAAAGTCTCGGCCATATTTCCTGATTGCTAAAAGCAATAAAAAGAAAACCAGAAGCAATCTGTTATTCCACAAAGACCACAAATCAGGCTCAAGACACAGCGTAAGGATCTGAAGCTGAACTTCTGTTAAGGTTTCAAGCTTTTCTCAGATTAATCCAAAGGAAAAAAAGATTAAAAGTCTAAATTGGGCAAGAGACAGTTAAGACTAGCCCTGGAGAAGAGAAGAAAATAGAGGTGTAGTGAAGATGGACAGAGCCAAATCTAGAAGACCTGGGTAAATCTGCCTGTACTACTTGCGACATTATGCAAGCAGAGACCATAGCAGTGACTCCAGCAGTTTCACTTTCTGAAAGCTTGGGCAAGCACAGGTTATTTGCAAACATTCATATGGTGCAATTTATACTGCCTGGGGAGGGGGAGGGGGGGATATTGTTTCCTTGTTCAATTCCATCATTTGTGCATTAATACCCAGCAATGTCAAAATCCTTCACTGGCCACTGAAGGGAAACACAGCTCTGACATGCAGCAGAGTTTTGATTATCACCAGCTGAAATACAAATAGGCTTGTAATGCCGTACATACCTTGCACAGCAAGAAGCTGCTCATCTGTGGTCCAACGTGCATTAAATTTCTGAACGGCCTAGACAAAAAAAAAAATTAGGTAACTTCATTTACATAAGCAACAACTTTCACTTGTATCTGAGCTCATAAAAACCTCACAAAAACCCAAAGAGGAATCAACTGCTAGACAAACTGTATCATTCCTTTTAGTAGCAGCAATGTTTTCAATATAAAGAACTGTGTATGGCAGCCATTCAGTTAACAGTGACATACGCTGTGCCTGTTAGTCATGGTAATACAAAAAGATTGGGAAAGGTGTGAGCAGATAACCAAGAGCCACACTCTTCCAAAGCACCTACTTGTTTTTATCACAGACACCCTCTGTAATCTTGGTCAAATTATTTCCAGCACAAGGTGCCAGAGTTAAAAGGAAAACAGCAAAAGCATCAAGTGCCAAGAGAAAAATGGGCCATTAACATCCTCTCCTACGTTTCTCAGTATTTAGAGCAAAGTAACTACCTCTCTCACAAGGGCATACGGATACAACACTGACAAAACATGGTATGTCTGGGATACCTGTACTTCTGTTAGAAACCACTTTTGCATGTTAAGCACTGCTCTTTCTTCTTGTCTCCCATTTCCATTACACAACAACAGTGAATATAGTATGGTCTTCATTCACATAAACAACTAGTAGGACATTGGTCCTACTTTACTGGCAACACCAGTAGCTCTGGTATGTAAACGCAGATTAGCATTTAGCTACACAATAAAGGTCAGAAAATGATCCTACCTCTGGAAGTCTGTATTGTTCTATACCACCTTCAAGTTTTTCTTTGAGCGCACTGTTTGTCTGTTTGATATTCTGAATCTGAAAAGAAAGTTAAATCCCTTTAACAAGGATTTAAAAAAAGTATTTGGACAAGCCTTCTTCCAGCAGCCCCAGCAGGAACCCCACAAGTTCAGCATTCCAGTTTTCCTCACAATCTCCCTTTTCCAAAAAATAAAGTTTGTTATATTGAAATAAAGGGATGCAGGAGCAGCTGGCACATCAGGAGATCCCATTTAATTTAGTCTATCCTGTCTGAAAGTTATTTGGAGCAAGAACTGCCCCAACTTACAGGTCTGTATAAAGTCCAGGATAAGAAAGGCCCTGCTCACAGTAAGTAATGAATCAAAGACTGCCAGAGAGCTCCACTTCTCCCAGAGTGCCAAGAAAAAGGTTTTAGGCCAAAGTATCAATTCTATCAGGTTTAATAAAGACCTTGAGCCAGATCTCTGCTTTAAAAACAGTGAAAATATTCAGATCCAGGAAACAAACCAATGTAGTAAACCTGTCTTTACTAACAGATATGTGAAAAACATTTGTTTAAAAGACAGATCCATCAGGGAAGCAAAAAGTATGTAGGAAAGTTTGGATGATGTCTGTCTAAGAAAGACTAAAACAAACATATCTGCCTGTTCCAAAAGTACCATAGGAAAAGGCAAAGGAAACCGCTGCAGACGGAAACCAGATACTGCTGAAACCAATGTCTTCTGAGGGAAGTTCATAGTTAAAACATAAGGGACCCTGAATTGCAAGAAACACTAAGTGCCAACAAACATTCCTTCAAGTCAGTGCTATGGACTTTTCCTGCTTTAATTTAGATATAAAGTAGGCTTGCCCATAGAGCTGAAACATAAGAGACATAACGCACAGGGCTGCATTAGCTCACAGCACAAAGGTAGCAGCTTGTCAATTAAGCCACATCATGATGTGCATCATCACTGTCAAGCTACAAATTCCTGTGAACTTTGTAGACTGTGACAGGCACTACCACCAAAAATAGCAGTTATTCTTGAACTATCCCATCGATACCTGTCGTTTGATTGAGACTAATTCCATGTCCAGTTGTCTGAGTACAGTGGTAGCAGCTGTTGCGTTGGCAGAAACAGCCTCCACGTCTTCTTGGGAAAGGAACATTCCTTTGGGAGGTTTCCTCTTCGCTCTGTTCTTGGCCTGCGTACTGTGCTTCTCCTTCTTCACCTGAGGAACAGTTTCAGCGGGTGGCACCTGGCAAACAGCAGTCATTTTACAAAACTAGATGATCTTTAAAGATCCCTTACAACCTAAACCATTCCGTGATTCTATGACTTTCAGCCATTCTCAAAGGTCGGAGAACAGCACATCATACAAACACTGTCTTATATAAATTTCTCCTTTCATCTAGGCAGCTTTCAATGTTTACAGAGATACTGGTTGTCTTCTCTGCCCATTCTCATTTTGGGAGACAGATGTCCAATTTTCCAACAGTTAAATATTCTGGTTATTTCCAAATGCTCCAAAACATTTCTTCTTGATTTCATCACCAGGCCTGAACACGCCAGTTTAACTAAGCACCAGAAGGAAACAAAGTGAAGTTTGTAGACATGGTAAGAACACAACTAGAAGAGTTTAGAGACTTGTTTTTATACATGATAGACAGCAGAAAGATTAAACTAAATTTATGTAAAGGCTAAGGATAAAGGAGGGAGGCGACTACAAAGTAATTCTTAGATTGTTACACAGTTTCTTGGAAGTCAAGTTTTCTTGCATAGCACTGATACATCAACTGTTCCATTAAATTGATGCAGTTTTGCCCACAAATAAAACTTAAATCTCTTTTGGAAAAGGGAATATATCACACATTATTTTTATGCCTTCTGTCTAAAGCAAAGAATTAGGGACACGCCTGTAACAGGTAGATTAGGTAGCACAATATAGAACAGATCCTTCAAGAGCACATCTGATTCTCTAATATCAACTTCTGGAAGAAATGGTTTTATTTTCAACAAGCAACTCATATCCAAGATTTATTACCCAGTGGCTGGAGCCTGGCCAAGAGCACAGAACTGAAGGGTGGCAGGGAGAGAAAAAGCAGAGGGGATGGCGCACATCTGAAATCCTCTACTTGATCACTGCCAGCTTTAAATACATTGGCCTCACTTAGCACTATTGTTTCCCTTCTAATTTGCAGCTACATGTAGTTTCTACACAGTTTGTGGCATTTGCTCATTACTGAGCATTAAAATGCTTGCATTCAAACCCACATCAGGCTGAGCACAAAGCCCAGCATAAGCATAAGGCTCTGCCTCCCAAAGACTGGAGGATCCCACCCTCTTCATGGGCTCAACAGCCAGAGCCACATAGGAGCAGTAATGTGGACAATTGTCTGTTTTCAACTTTTCCCCCCCCACCTCCTTTACTGCAAAGGACTCTGTGAGAGACAAAGCCTAAGGCAAGCCCAGGAGCTAGAGATAACTATTGCTGTTGCAGGATGGATACCCTATTTCTTTTTGCAGAAGGGAGTGGGGAGCAGGAGAAACCAGACTGGCTTAGCTATGAACAAGTGAGGTAAGCTCTGCACTCTGCTTCAGAAGCAAGCACTCTGATAACTGAGCCAGGTAAATTATTCAACATGGATAGACATTTCAGATTCATTCATATTTCATCTACATACACAGAATTTCACAGGATCATGCAGTAATGCCTCACAACAAGTTCAGGCTGTAAGTCGACCAACACACAATGCCTCCAGTGCAAATATCCCAGAATTCTCAACATTAAGGAAAAACAAAAGCAGATTCAAATTATTGTTTTACACGGTTGAAAAAATGTGAAGCCCTCTTGTGTTGTGAACAAGAAGCCAGAGCTCCAGCAGAATGGCTTTTGTCAGCTGCAAATGCCTCTAGGCCCTGGTGATATTGTGCAGGCTCTGAAAATTTGAACATCTACCCTTTCTTGGAAACTCCTGCTTTCCTGGCCACACACATCTCTCTGTGGATTTAAATCAACTAATGAAAACCAGAGGGAATTAAAATGCAGGGATTTAGCAGTGCTTCTCCGTTTATTTAGATATTGCCACTGCTATCCAGCACACTTCAGTCTTACAAACCTATTAATACAAACAAGGTTCCCTTCCTCAGATTTCACAGGGTGAAAAGAAAAGAATAAACTATCTTAAGCCACGTAAAAGTAGATGAATTGGTAAGGATTTTCCAGGAACACGGAAGAAGCTCTAGTTCATGACCTCAGTATTATGGAGTCACTATCTGAGGAAACCCGAACAGTTGTACTAACACTGAAAGTACTAGAAAAAAAGGGAAGATTCCCCCTCCAATGATCCCCAAAAGAGGAAACAGATGAGAGATTTCAGATATGCTGAGAAATCCCAGTATTACTTGGCAAGTCATACAATAACTGACATGTCTCAGAGCTGGAAAAACCATCTCTGAGGGGTTGGGACAGGGAGGTTCTTTACGGTAAGAGTCCTGGGCTAGCGGCACATCACCACCCCTGCATGTCTGACCACATCATTAAAACAAACATAACGATCAAGAAAGAACCTACCCCCCTTCTGGATACCTGCGCTCTCTCAAGGCATTTTCAATTAGCCCCCGGCTCAAGTACTGCACAATCAAATCAAATTAACTCTGAACAGGCTATGTGGGTTGTCAGCTTCATTTTACCCGCCGGTGCTATCCCTGTCCAGAACAGACCCCACAAGGCTGCCCATCATTGCATACAGAACCAGACTGCACATGTTCCGTGAGTTTTGTTGATCTCTTTCAGATTGGTAGAGTGTGCTGCGGCCTGTATTAGTGACAGGGAGGGCAGACAGCTTCCTCCTATACAAGACTTTCTATAAAAATGTCTTGATGGTACCCATCAGCCATCTGCTCTGGCCTTAAAACAGAGGCAGCCAAGTTGGTGAAGAACCACCTTTCCCTCTTCTGCAGCAAGTCTGGAGCATGCCAGCATCACAGGAAAGGAAGCAGTAAAGGGGACTGAAGGGAGCTCTCTTACAGATGCAAGCTTTCAAAGAGCTTACAGAGAAATCTAAACTTTCATGTTTATTAAAATTAAGGGAAACGAGATGATGATGATGATTATTTACAGGACACACTGGAGAGCTGCAGTATGCAGCTGCAACTTAGCCAAGTGAGAATCCTTCCAGTCTGGGTGTTGCTGAGGCTTCTGAAAACTCTGTTTCTTGTAAGGGTGAACGTGAGTGGTTTCACATCCACTCTGCTCCTAGGAAGCCATCAGGGATGCCAGTTCTTTTGGTGAAAGTAACAGCTAGGCTTTTCTGGAAAGTCTAGAGAACACCCTGGCATGGGTAAAGAACAAACTAGAATGTTGTGATTTTTCAGTTATTTCCATTCAAAATAATGTATTAGTGGAATTAATCTTGCTGACAGTGACTGACAAAGCAGCTGGTCTAGGCCTTTGTTTTTGCCTGTGTGCAATCCTGTTTTAAATAATTCTACTGGGTTTGTTCCTACATATACCCTTAAAAAAAAAAAAAAAAACCCCAAACAAATTGAAAGAGAGTGACTGTTGAAGAGAAATCAGGCTACAAGAAATCAGGAAAGGGAGCTACTTCAAGGAGAGAAGGCTTTAGGGTATATGTCTTCCTGCACAACCCACACTGCTGCTGAATGTCAAGGCTTTTTTATTTAGTAACAGATAACCAGAAGATTATACACATGAAAATCAAGTATATACTTTCCTGTTAAGCACCACAGACCAGGTTTTCAAAATTGTATTTGTGTGGCTCTATTCTCATCTAGAACTGTATGGACACTTAAAATTAAGTATTTGAAGTAAGGTGCAAGTACTATGTTTTAAATAAACAAAATATTCTGTGCATAACAACAGGTTAAGGTCCCTCTGCCAGACAAAATGAACAAGCCACACCAAAGCTTTCTCCTCTACTGTTCACCACTGTAGTTGCAATCCTGGTGCATCAAGAATTTACCTTAGAATCTAAGGTGTAGACAAGGATGCTCTTGCTAGTCTACCTAAAACAGATTAAAAGACACATTTCCCCTTCACCAAGCTATCTCAGTGGGGACATAAGCGCTTCTACTCCATCTCCACGCAGTTAGTTGGATTTAAACCATCACTGAAGGTGGTTCAAGCTAACACAGCCACCCTTGAATCAAAGAGACTAGAAACATTCACATAATACATCATCATGGGATGGTAAAGTCTTAAATTTTCCCAACTCCATCCATAGTAACTTATTTGTCTATAATTGTCTTGATCTAAGAATAATTCTGAAGACAATTCTTCTTTTCTTGTATGACAACTATACAAAGCACAAATAAAGAAAATTAGATACTGTCAGCTTCTACATGAAGTAGATAGTAAGTAAACACTTTCATTTTTACAGCAGTAAGAAAAGAATTATACCTCCTTTTTGCTCTCCTTGTTTTGTTCAACTTCAATATCAATAGGGTTATTTCCATTTGCTTCCTCCATTTCATCCTCACTGGAAGACAAAAGCAAACAGTACTGTATTAGTTTGTGAGGCTCTCTTTTTCTGTAAATAGCAGTCCAAAAGAAATGCATGGATGCAACAGCAAATCCAACTGGTTTCCTTAGTTTTACTCCCAAGGCGTTTCTTAAGGGTCTGGGGTGGGTTTTTTTGTGTTGAGTTTCCTGTTTATTTGTTTGTTTGGTTGTTTTTTTTTTTTCTTTTTAAGTCAAGAAATTCTTCATTGTAAAGATGCTAGGGACCACGTATTGTAAAGAAAGACTTCTCAGTAGTGTAATTGGGAAAAATAAGTCTGTTCGGATGAAGGCAATATATATGAAATTGATTACACAAGTTATATTTTAAAGAACACAGGACATTGAGCATTTTAACTTTAGGCGAACAGACAGAAACAAAGATATAGAATTACAGCAAGTAGCTAAAGCATGGATTTCATACAACTCCTTAACATTTAGCAAAAGAGACATGCACAAGAACTCCCTCAAGAACAAGCATAAGAAATGTTTGGGTTTCTCTCCCTTCCTTCCTCCCCCCCCCGCCCCCCCCCCGTGACAGCCTCACATTTCTTTCTCCTCTGGAAAAGAAAAAGAGGTTATCAGTTACAGAATAATAATAGTCATGAAATTGGGGCCATATCAAAAGTAACCTTGGCACACCTGGCCAGTTTGGCTTCATTGAAATTTTAATCAGACATTAAATCAAATATATTTTCACCATTTAGAATTTTTGTACTGTACACAACTAAAGTTAATTGCACCATTTGGGATGATGCCCAGAAATGGAAGAAATAAGCTGACCTCATCAAAAGCTTCCCCCCTCGCCCCCCTTCCTTTAAATCAAAAACTAAGCCTATTCTGTCATGTCAAACTTTACAGCCCAGGATGAGGCACTCTGGCTGGTGCAGGTACGTCGCAGAGCCAGCGCGCAGCCGGGCTGTGCAGAGAAGCCCCAGCAGCAGCTCTGCCGTGCTGCTGGGTGCTGGAGCTAGCCAGGGTGTGCTCCCACCGCACCGGCGCCCCCTCACCGCTGGGTCCCTGCTGCGGCGACGTCCTGCGCAAGCATCGTCCAAGGAGGAACACACTGCTGCGTGGCTTGAGCTGGCTTCCATCGCCACAAGAGCAGTCAGCTGTACGAGCCATTCCTACTCTCCCAAGCCTCCTAGCTCATGAGCTGATTCACAAGAGAATTAGTTTGTGTAATCACGATTCCTGGAAATAAACTCACCAGCACCCCCTCCCAGAGCTGCATACACTAAGTCCCTTGCATACAACTAAGAACAGCTACTGAAAACCTGGTCCCAAACACACTGGGAGCTATGTCACTGACAATCTGAGGGGCCGAGGAATTTCCCTGCCTAGCCACAAAGAGATACAGCAGTATTCGAGTGAAATACTTCAGACTGCCCCCCCACTCTTAACCCCATCTCCAAAAGACCTTCCTTGTGTTCTCACATAGGTTCAAATGTCAGCCTTTCTGCAAAGGCCAAACCTCCACGGGCTTTGCTGTGCTCATAGTTTGCTCTTCTATTCCAGCAAGTTCCCTAGACGTGAGCTAGATCAAAACCCACCCACTCATTTCTGAGGTTTTAGACATTGATCACTATTAGCTGAAGAACACTTCTGAAGTTTTGCCAACACCCAGTGGCACAGTACAACCTCCAAATCCAGGCACCCCAAACTCACCCAGTTTTGCTTCCATGCCCCGCATGGCTGCACTGACAAACCCTTCAGGGGTTTGGGGGCTTGACTATTTTGCATAATGGAGGGGAAGAAGGGAAACCAAACATGAAGCTGATGGCCTGGTGCTTAGCTTGCTGCAGATGTAAACCAAATTACACATTTCCAATCCAGCTGCCTTCTTCAAAGGTTACGAAATTACAGCACATGGCAGCCCTTACAGTTTTCTCCCAATCACCAGATGGTCTGAGGTGCTGCTTTTCCCAGCACACAGGCATAGCTACCAATGAGGTGTATTTCCAAATTGCAGTAAATTCATTTATGAGCACGGAACAAAAATAGAGGTAGTATTAAAAGATTCTAAACTACATAGTACAAGACAAACACAGTTCTTTATAAGAGTTCCCCCCCTCCCCGAAAATTTTAAGAAAAGCAGGATGGAGAGAAACAAAATCAAGACAGCCTTTGCAGAGAAGGAAAAGGAACAGAACGGAAAAAGAGACTCAGGCCAGAGAAAGCCAACCAAACACTAGACAAGTTGGCTGGTAGTATTCTCCCCGGCCCTGCCTGTTAAGCAAGCACTGTTGATCTAGCAGAGATATGGGAGAGGTTGAGTGAGTCATTGGTGTAGTACATCTCAACCCTGGAAACACATTTCTTCCCCCTTCCCAAGCAGGGCTCACTCAGACACTGGAGCCAGCAAACAAAAACCTGGGAAGTGCTAGAGGAGCAACTCCTTTCAGGGAAAAGCTTTTGCAGAATTTTACCCAATTATGTTAGGAGTCTTCCAAAGCCAGGTACACCTCAGGTTTGGTCTGCAAAGACATTAGCTGAATTTTAGAGCAGGTTGAGGAGGCACCTGTGTCAAGCAGATGGAGTTGCTGCTGTTCAGAGGGTGTTTTTTCCCCCACCCCAACGCCTGAGGCCACTGCATTTCTGAGGCTCTGTCAGCTCCAGAACCAGGCAAAGTCACTGACTGGCAGTTCTAACTGTACAGATACTTCCATCAATACACACAAGGCCACTGGCTGACCTACCTTCAAGGGCTTGCACAGGTATCCAGCAAGGTCATCTTGCAGACAAAGCTGCACAAGCAGGAGTCAAGCTCATCTGCTGAAGCTCAGTGGCTAGTGATCTCCTGAACACCACCACCCTCACCCAAATCCTAATGCACCCAGCACTCCTTGGGATACCTCTGCTGTAGAGCTCATCCTAAGATCTCCTGTGCTACCCTCTTCTCAGTCATTCAAAAACACAGCCTTAACTTCATCCTTCTCAGGGAACAGAGCTTGGCCTGACTGCCTTATACCATTAACAGTTTTCTAAGTAAAAGGCAGGGGAAGCGTCTCCGTGTGCACACACACAGGGTGAGGGGTGCTGCACTGGAGCCTGTTCCCCATCAGGCGCATGTTCTCACTCTACTGAGCATCACATGGTGGAAATAAAGGCAGATTTTTAGCTCTTTCATTACTTCCTTTCACTGTCCTGCTTATCAGCTTTTCTGGCTCTGCTGACAACAGTGCCAATCAGCTTGTAAACGGTTTTAATTTCATTTTCTCCACCCTCAAGCAGTATCAGAGAAAAAGCATCTAGAGTGATGGGACAGTGACCACTGCACTAGAGGGCAATCAGGAATTGCACAGTGTTGAAAAAGGGAGAACACCTAATTGCTGACAGATTCCTTTTGGCTTTAAGCAAAGCAAAACATGCACAGCAGGGAAGAGGGGTGGGGAAAGAAGGTGTGGTATCAGGAAACATTTTGGGGAAAATCCTACATCTAGTTTCTTACAAGCTAACAGGAATCTGAGATAGTCTAAAGAAACCAGTGTGCGTCAATACAGAGCCTTTCTGCTTGCAAACCTACCTTTCCTCACGTTCCCTTTTTTGTTTACGAGCATGACGGTCCATCACGCTAGTTTTAGTCCTTGTCTTCTTCCAGGAGTAGTAAAATTTCACCAGGCTGGCTATTGATTTGTCAGGAAGCTGCAAATTAAACATGTATCCTTTTATATGTTTATATGTAAAGTATCCCCAGGAGTTCACATACAATTGGTCTGGTTTTGTCAAGGAACATCTGATCTCTCTATGTTGGATTCTCTCAAAGGCTCAAGCAAGGCAGTTCTGCAGCCTTTCCAAAAATGATCTACGGGGGAGTGTTTCGGGTTAGTGCCTACTATTTAGGACATCGAAATCACTAAAGAACATCTCAGCAAGCCTCCACTCACCAGCCAGGTAGCTGGTTCACTTCAGAATAGAGGAACATAGCAAGAACAAATCCAAAATGGGGCCCTGAAACTGAGATAACAGTTTTAAAAGCCAACACAGGCATGTGTAAGCAACCACAGGAACTGCTGAATTGCAGGCTACAACCCAAGCATATCTTTGATGTTTGATTAAAAAGGCTTATTCACACCATTCACATGATGAAGTTTATTCTAAGATCTCAGCAAAAGATGTTTTCAAAAGGTGAAACGTTACTGTATGGTGAACTGAGGATATAGGAAAACACGAGTTTCAGAATTTTTTGTCCTCTTATACTAACATCATTGCCCTGGAGCTATGAATGAAAAGTCTGCCTCCAAAAAGCATAAAACTACACTAAGACTAGTTCTCTACTTCTGAGGTACTCTGCATGGATGTTCTTATACAGGACTTCTACAAGGTATAAGTCCAGCCTTTGCTGGATAAAACATGTTTTAGAAAAGTGTCTGATTCAGCTTGGAGGGCAGGATGGGTGGGGAGGAAAACAAAACTCTGAGCAAGAGCCAGATCTCTCTTATTCAGATACTGCAGTTTAAGTCTTCACTTGAGATAAGCCTGGTTTCTCAGACTGCAGGTTGACTTTAGGTCCTAGTAATAGATTGCACCAGAACAACCACCCTGGCCCACAGCTGCACACAGGCATAAATTCATCTGCACTGGCAAAGCACAGGTAGGTACTATGCTGATGATGTGTTGCCAATAGCCATGCAGCAGGCTGGTACACTGGAACTAAAGAGTTCCACAGAACAAACTCAGGGACAAGGCTGCTCATGACAAACATCCACTTGGCTACAAACACATGATAACAGTGCCAAAATATCAGAACCAGCTCCGGTAAATAACATAACTCACTTTTCTTTCTCTGGCTTCAGTGATTTCTCCCCTCAGTTCCAAGCTGCAGAGGTGCTAATGGGGCAGCATATGCAAACTTAACAACTAACATACTCCCAAGCCATTGATTCCTGTCCACTATTAAACAGAAACCTTCATGCCATTTAATTCCTTTCATGCAGGATGGCTTTTCGGGGAGCAGCAGTAAAAAAATATTACCTGGGGAACAGTGTATGTTTTGGCATCCCTGTATTGGAATGCACTTCACTCAGGGACGAAATCATGCTTTTACATGTAAAATAAAGAAATAATTTCTTGCTTTGGCATTTAACCAAGCAACAGGATGGGCTTTATGTTCTCTTTTTTTCTCAGAAAATTCCCTCCCCTTTCTCCCTCCATGTAAGAACAGAACAATAAAGAAAAAAACACCTTCATCCTGCAGGAGCACACAACTCCCTAGACTGTCTTTATCAGCTGTCTATAGCATATGCAAGCCCTGTCATCTGACCCAAGGGAGCAGGAGACCCTAGGACTCCAAGAACGTTTGGAAACAAACACCAGTGAAGGAACATTCAAGTAAGACATGAGGAGATCAAGCCTCTTCCTGCCACTCTTTTGGAAAAAGACCTGGTGGTTTTCCTTCATACGTGGGAGGCAAGTCATCTTTCACTTTTCAGCAGGATCAGCACCACAGACCTTCACGTGTGCTTTAAAGAGGGTGAACAGACTGCAACTGCCTAGGCTCACTTCAAAGGGTCACAACCAACATAACCAGGTCCTGCTGGAACACTTGAGAGGCTCTTTACTGAAGGAGAGCAAAGAACAAAGTCTGTTTTCCACCCAGGTGATGAACCACTTGAAGAAACTCTCAAGATAATTAATTTAAAAATTTTTACATCCCATCCTCTCCCTCTTTCAAAATAAAATTGCACACACCTCAGCAGTTCCCCTTCAGGAAGAAACCTACCCTTGAAGTTTTCAAATGTCAGTTCAAAAAAATATCACTACCAACCAAAAGCAGAGGACTGAATGCTTACAATGATGTATAAACCTCCACCACAGCATCCACCAACAGTCCCAAATCACATTAAGCACAGACTTCATAGTCAAATAAAATTAATTCCTAAAAAGCAGAATGTAAGAAAGGAAATCAACTTTGCACGGAGATGATCTTTACTCTGTGTGTGGGTGGGCAGACCATGCCTGAAATCCAGCTGAGACAAAAACTACTATAGCACACAGGGGACTGAAAACTGTAATTTCCAACCAAAAAAACGGCACAGTCAAAGTTTACCCTGAACTAGTAAAGCACTTCAGGAAAATACTTGACAGAGGTTCTGAAAACAATGTTGTTTCCTTCTATTCATGGTAATATTTTTCCTCTAACATCCCCTTTGGTCTGTTCTCTCCCAAGAGCATTATACAGGAGTTCAGCACAATCAGCACTGAAGATGATTGTCCAACCGCCCGTTCTGCTTTTCCATTCCTGTGACACCACTTACCATCTGCTGGATTCTATGAAAGGTTTTCCCATGGAAACTGAAGGCCTGCTCAAACAAGACCTTGTCTTCCACTGTCCACTCATCTGGGAATGGAGTGAAGTTTGGCAGATCTGCCAAAGACTTCTCGATGTTGTGCTTGTGCCAAAATAGCATTCCAAGGGCCTAGAAATAACAAGGACACCAAGGGGACAATCGTAATCACAAGAAACATTGTTATATCTATGCAAAGGGAGAGCAACAGCATTTTTCTCAGGCAACATGTTAGACACAATTTTAATTCTCAGCTACATCAGAGGCTTTTCTGTGTGCAAGAAACCTGGATTCTGACCCCCCACCCTGCTAGGTTGTGAAGACCAACTTGAAGTTTATCCAAACTACACAGGTAATAATGTAATAAGAGAGTAGCAACAGAAAGGGGAGAAGAAAATTGAAGAAATTACTCCAACTTTACTGACCATGGCATGCACAGGAAAGCTAAGCAAAGACTTGGAAAAACTACCTAAAAACCAGGCTGGAGCAAAGGAAGTTTCTTGCCAATGCTAAACTCCCTTCATTTCCTGTGCAGTTAGGAGGCCAATTTAATTCACTGAGGTTTTTTAAGGTTGTTTATGGGGCTCTTTCTAAGGGGGAAAGGGAAACAGGGGAGATGATGATGGAAGAACTGGAAAAAGGAAAGGCAGAGTACATGTACAACCTTGATTGTTGCTAAGATGTCCTTGGCCCAAAGGAGAAACAAATCTCACTCATTTTGGGGGCTGCTCATTTGTTTCCTTGAGAGATGTCTCGTTTCACTGTTGCAGTCTCTGGTTCTCAGTTCCAAAGACAAAGTGCGTGTGCTGCACTTCACCTGCAAAACATCCTCCTCCTACCACCTCCAAGATGCTCGCTCACAGCCACCCCTCTCCCAGGGGTGCACAGCCCCTGTGTGTTATGACACATCACTACATCTGGCATGCCAGCACCACCACAAGTCATTTTGGGAAGGCCTGACTCTGCAGAGCTAGAAACCAGCCTTTCACAATGGCTGTAAAGTGAAAACAATCCCTAACATGCTGAGTAAAACATCAGAGTAAGCTGCTTGTCATATGCAAACTCAGCTCAGGTTTCACAGCCACAGTTACCCTCATCTACTAGTTTCACCCTGGCCACTCAGAGCTACAAAATCCCTCCAAATTCGGGGTTTCCCCATTACGCTGTGCTATGCAAAAAGCAGTTCCTTTATGGGATCTTGATTGCCTGAGATTCTGCAGACAGTATGCAAATAAATATTAGTGTTATCCAAGATCTTGTCCTGACCCCACTGGTCTCTCAGTGCTGCCCAGGCACCATCTCCTCCCTTTTGCCACCATGCAGAACAAGAAGTCATCTTGGTTGCAGCACAGTCGCTCAGGATGTCACAGGAGCCACACAGCCACTTATCTCTATCAACTCTGGCAAGCATAGGGCCAAAGAAACTATTTTGCAGTCACGAAGGACCAAGCGTTTTCTCCCGTGCCACCCCTTTCAGCTTCAGATATGAGCTGTACAAAATATCCCTGACAGAAAGCCCAGGAAAAACAAGGAGGGAGACATTTTGGGAGGGGAGGGCAGTGTTAAATACCACTAGGGTGCTAGCGAGGGCTGAAGGGACAGCTGCTTACACGCATCACAAGGTGAACAAAGGTTTTCTTTATAGACTAGTTTAACAGGACAGCAGTATTCCTTCTCCACCTCATGCTGCCCTACAAGAGCTTTGTCCCAGGGCATCTGACACAGGCAGGCAGGAGAGCACAGCTCACAGCCAGACTTGCTGTAGTTCTCCCAGAAGCCTGTGGCTGCTACAGCTCCACAAAACCATCTACCAAAACCAGCTGAAGTGGGCTTGCCCTTTCAGAGCTCACTTGCCTGCCGGAGCCTGCCCTCAAGCTGGCAAGGCCACAGGGACTCCCACAGCCTCAAGCCTCCGGCCATCACCCCACAGCAACAGAGCCAACAGTGGGGCATTCAGCCACAGAGGTACGGGAGCCGCACGCGGTGCGGATGCGGCCAGCTGGGTGGGAAAGCTGCTGGGCAGAGGAGCGCCAGCCCTCACCCCAGCCGCCCTGCCAGACAGCTCCCCACTCTCTTCAAATAACTGGCACATCTTAATCTGCAAGGGTAGGTTTGGGGCAGCAGTCACAGATGGAAGAACGGGAATCTCTGTGCGATGACTGTCAGCCAAGCCACCTGCGCAGGGCTCCAAAGAGACTGGCTGTCGTGGGGATGCATGCATGGGAAAGGGCTGCCTCAGCCAGTGAAGCCCAGAGACAATGTCCAAATGCTAAGTGAGCTCTGACTAGCTTTCAGGGAGTTCCTATCAGCTTGTCCACAGTTACACAGCCAGCAGCAACTCTGATGCTACCTGCTGAAGAGAGAGTGTCCCTTGCTGACAACGCATCATCCTGATTTGAAAGTCTTGACACTTGTCCCTATAATACAAAATGAGTACGTGCCCTCCAGAGCGATACAAGATAGATCCTCTCCAGTTATTTCCTGGAAGTGCCTAGCTTAGCTGTCGAGGAAATCCCAAAGGACCTGGGAAACATGTTTAACTCCAGAGCATTGTGAGACAGTGCTGAGGAAGGAGCGAGAAAATTTTAAAGGAGAAACATTTTTACAGGTTGCTCAGCCACTTTACATCCTGGTGTGGCGAGTCCCACAACTTCTACTTCTGTACACAGAGGAGGGGAGAAAAATGGGGAGAAAGACTTCGAGAAATTAGTGGGAGGCCTGTATTTTCAGCAGTAAAATGAATGTAAATCTGTTAGCCAAATTTAAATTCAGCCTTTTTTAAAAAAAATCACAAGTTTCACTTTGATCAGTCTTCCTGATCAGTCTATACTCTCTAAACAATACTTCTCCACTAAAATAGTGAAACCCATTTTTATTAGCCTGAGACCACCTATTTTGGCAAATATTACCCATAATATCCAATACTAGGATATATCCATCTCAACTTAAGTGAGCTACCATCCTTACTTTCATTTAGGTTTGCAGCCTTTTGGTACCTTCATCTTCCTTTTATTGCTGTTTTCTGCTCTTAGAAGCTATAAATATCAAGTCTGATCATTCCTGATTTTGCTGGAAATTTTGCAGGTTACCTCAACTTCAGTGCTTTTGTTCCACAAGAAGTCTTTCTGAACACGAGTGTCAACCACTGAAAGTCTGACTCAAAGATGACAGCAGAGTCATTTAAATAGAAACCCCTGCCCATCCAAATCATTGGTTTCTATGCTCATGGCCTGTGCCTGAACAACTTCATAAACTTGCAAGTTTTCATAGAATCCCTTTGTAGAGACAGCACATACTTTGCCAATACAATAAGTCATGAGATTCCCCACCTTCCCTTTCCAGACAAGTATTAGTGCATACGGAAACTCCACAAAATTCAGAAAAGCTTCCCAAGCACAAGTCTACTCATCTCTCCAGATGAGTGTTGAAATTGATGTTGGTTAACACAGGGAAGATTAATACACAAGCCTAGACCACCCGGAGGAAAGGAGAGGTCTGCTCCTCGGATCAGGACTTCCAGCCCTAGGCTAAAGGCATTGGCTAACCTCAGGTTCAGCCAGTGAAGTCATCCATTGCTACTGCAAAGACATGAAGGTGCTCATCTATGAAATGCAAAATGATTTGCAGCACAGTTTTAAGGTAAATAACTGTGGATATTGGTTTGCATCCGAAAAGCGTATAATGGTTCAATAGCTCCTTAATAACTGCCAACGTATCCATGAAGCAGAGGTGGAGCAGTCAGCTGGAAAGTGCAATGCAATCAGACAGCTGTCCAAAGACAAGCCAATCTCTTTAACATTGTTTAGGGGTTCTGAAAGTGTTCAAGAGGCAGTCACCATAGGAAGCATAATACTCATGGCCAAACTCCACTAGAAATTACAATGTTTTTGTTTTTCTTCTTTGTATATAAAACTAGGGATGAACTCCATACCCCCAGAGCACAGGTTACTATTAGAAATAGTCAGTTTTAGGAGAAGTAGGAGAAAACACAGACAGTACAGAAGGGAAGAAGCAGTTCTAGGTAGTCACTTTAAGTCATGTTTTAATACCTGCTGAAAAAGATTTTAAAATAAAGTATTCAAAGGGTTGTTACCTGCTCCATATTGTATCCATGCTTCTCTTTAGCAATGGCAATATATTCATCCACTGAAAAACAAAGAGAAGGCATAAAGAGCATTTCATATAATGACCTCATTTCCTCTTCCCTTCCCTTTTCCAGTCTAAAACCCAGTTCTGGAGCTCTGACTGAAGTCATGATCATTGCACCCACCACAGAAAACTCTCATGAATAGCTACTGTTTCCAACAATTCAGGAAAGGATGGAAACAAAATAAAAACAAGTCACCAGACAAACTACTAGATATTTTCCTTAACAAGCCTAAATGATGCACGATATCCAATCCAGTTTCAGTACTGAAACATGACATATAGTATTTCAGAACCTGTTCACCAAAGCTATAGACATGACTGTCTCAGCCTTCCCCCTCCTCCCCCCAAGTCTCCCAAAGCAGTTTTCTTAAGAACAAAAATCCCCAGACACAATCCATACCTTCCAATACTGCCAGATTCCTAGTGTTGCACAACTACTGCAGATATCTTGGCAAATTTCTCAGCCCTTATGCCTCAGCAGTTTTCAGCTTGGACCAAACCCCACCTCTACGTATCATTAGGACCCCACAAGCTTTTAACCTCTATGATGTGAAGATGCCCTGAGAAGTTATTTTGTATAAATGGGACTAAAACCCAAATGACTCTCTCAGTATGAGTGACTAAGCTTACACTATACACAACAGCAACAGCATCCATGTGAGAGGGCTGGATCAAAGTCAGTACCAGTGGTGGCATTCTGAAGTCTGTGCCCTTGTGCTAGGTCATTATTAAATGCACTGTAATGATAACATCCCCCTTGAAAAAAAAATACAAGCTAAAAGGTGAAACTCCCACTACACCTAATGGAGAAGATAATGCTGGAAACATTGGTTGTCAACTTGCAAGTACCCTGAAAGACTTTGAACCAGTACACACAGTCAGAATTCTCATTCTTCGACAAATTTTAGACTTCAAGACATGTCACTTATCAATAAACTCAAAAATCATTCCCCCTTCCTCCTCTGCAGATACCCAGGGAGGGATGCAATCATGTGTGATGAGCACCTGACTCCTGGAGAACATGTGCAGCACCTCCAGAAGGAAATGTTTCTTTGCACACTGCAGCTAAGGAAGCCCCATTTCCTACTGTTTGGGCCTCACAATTAACTTCAGCTTTCAGAGAAAACATGCTTCTCCCATGTTTTCTGTGAGAGCTCTTGCACAGAGTCCCTAGTGACTATTAGCATGGCATTTCTTACCAGGACACTCCTCAATTCTTCCTTCAGCTGAGCAAACTAAGCAATGAACTTAAAAGGTACTGGGAAAACGGAAGATAGGTCAGAAAATGCACAGCATGAGAGCACTAGCCTCTTATTTTCAGCCTGTCACCAATACAAAGAAATTAAATCTAGATACTTAAGGCAGACATCCCATCTTACTAGACAGTATGACATGTGATATCAACGCTGGCCCTTCATTTGGAAAGGAGAAACATTAGATAATTTTCACAAAAAGGTGTTGCAAAAAAGGGCTTTGTTAAGTGCCATGGAAAGTCCATGAGAATATTAACACAGCCACATACTGTTGTAGAAGAGCATGCAGTAAATACAGGCACAGTTCCATGAGATTCTTGCTCTTCCAAGCTCCCACCTGCATACAACAGGGGTTCCCAAGGGGCTGACAAACCTGTTTGTTGGACTATGTTCTGAATACAGTCAGTAAAAGTTTTATTAGTCCTCTGAAGAAAGGTGTAGCCACAATCATTCATTTGCACCACTGCAGCAGAAACACATCCGCCTATCCAAGTAAACAAATTGTTTCTAAGGACAGCAGTGACAAGTGGTGTTCCTCGGGGGTCAGCACTGGGCCCGGCGCTGTTTAACATCTGTCAGCAACACGGACAGTGGGGTCGATGCACCCCCAGCAAGTTTGCTGATGACACCAAGCTGTGCGGTGTGGTGACACGCTGGGGGGCAGGGATGCCACCCAGGGGGACCTGGACAGGCTGGAGAGGTGGGCCCATGCAAACTTCATGGAGTGCAACAAGGCCACGTGCAAGGTCCTGCCCGTGGGTCACGGCAATCCCCAGCACAAATCCAGGCTGGGCGAGGGGTGGATTGAGAGCAGCCCTGAGGAGAAGGACCTGGGGGTGTTGGTGGATGGAAAACTGAATATGAGCCACCAATGTGCACTTGCAGCCCAGAAATCCAAGAGTGTCCTGGGCTGCATCACGTGTAGCCAGCAGGTGAAGAGAGGTGACTGTCTCCCTCTGCTCTGCTCTTGTGAGGCCCCCCCTCACCTCCCCTGCAGTACTGTGTCCAGCTCTGGGGCCTCCAGCATAAAGAGGACATGAACCTGTCAGAGCAAGTCTGGGGAGGCCATGAAGAAGATCAGAGAGCTGGAGCACCTCCCTTCTGAGAACAGGCTGAGAGAGCTGGGGGTGTTCAGCCTGGAGAAGAGAAGGCTCCGGGGAGACCTTATAGCCCCCTTCCAGTGCTTAAATGGGGGACAGGAAAAATGGAGAGGGATTCTTTATCAGGGTGTGTAGTGATAGGATGAGGGATAGCGGTTTTAAACTGAAAGAGGGTAGATTTAGATTAGATCTAAGGCAGAAATTCTTCCCTGTGCTGGTGCTGAGGCACTGGCCCAGGGTGCCCAGAGCAGCTGTGGCTGCCCCCTCCCTGGAAGGGTTCAAGGCCAGGTTGGACGGGGCTGGGAGCCCCCTGGGCTGGGGGAAGGTGTCCCTGCCCATGGCACAGGGGTTGAATCTTGATGACCTTTAAGGTCCCTTCCAGCCCAAACCACTCTACGACTCTATGACCATGCTGAACTAGGATGAAAACCATCCCTTCTTGCAAACAATCTTTTTTTTTTGCACAAGGCAAACATAATAAAATATTTGCACAGACAGTGAGGTAACAGAGACAGTGACAGAAACTTCTTAGGCTGCAATTGCTGCATTGTGTAATAGAACATCCTGAGTGTTACTCAAAATGTAGGAACCTCAAAGATCAGCTTTGCCATAGAACAAAAATCAATATGCAGAACCACACTGCAAAGGGAGAACATGATCCAGGACCACCACATAGGGGAAATGATGACAGAAGGGAACTGCCTCCTCCCTACACACACTCCTTCCCTCCACACACCAAACAGGGCAGGGAACATCAGTAGGATGTGGGCAGAAGAGCGAATTCAGATGCTTCCAGACTTTATAGCCCCACCAAAACCAAAGGCTGCCAGGAAACCCTACGTGCAGTATTTCCCTGTACTTCAGCTAAATGCTCACGGCTTCCTTATGACAGGGATTGCACATGCAGTGTTATATATTTTGTCTAAGGGGGAGGTGAAGGAAGTGGGAGGGAAAGGAGTTGAATCCTCTGAAGTCCAAGGCTGAATTAAGCTCTGGAATGCTAAGTACTGCTGCATTAACTAGCTTGCTTTCACTGTGGAAAGATCTATAGTTCCTGATTTAACTTCAGCATCTTATCCTTTAATATATACAGAGAAGAGATGAGGTCGTTCCCCTTTCCAGCAAATTACCTTTCTTCTGCCAGATGCTATAAGCAATGAAAACTTACTTCCTCCCCCTTGCTCCCCACCCTCCCCCCCAAAAAAAAATATCATTATAGCATTTTCTCTCCTAACTGAGCAAGAACATTATCAAGGTCCCCACATATCAATATCAACAGGATTTCTCTTGATTCAAGTCAATACACCACAGAGCCAAACAGTAGACTATGAGTGATCAGACACCATGAAAGGAGGAAGGATGCTTTTCTTGTCACAGTGGGGTCTGTAACACCTCGTTGTTACAGTGGAGGAAATGAAAAATAAGAAGAAAAACAATGCTCCTTCTCTATACACTAAAAAAGTGTTTGTGAAGGAAGAACAAGGAGTACACCTATGTACTCTATTCTTGGCTTGTTCTCTGCCTGCTTACTGACAATCTAGCACATTTTGCTCATCATTTCTTGGCTAATTGCGGGCTCACTCGTTTTGATGCTTACACCATCTGAGAGGTATGACAGTCCCTTGAGCAATCGTTCTGATTGCTCTTTCTTTACCATCCCCCTCCACATGAATTGAGTAAGAAGGAGCATGGCACCAGCTGAGTCAAAGGATCCCTTTAGTCTCTCATAGCAGTAGAGTCTGGAATTGCTACAAGCTTAATGCTTCACATGCCACACCAGATAAATAAGTGTCCTCTTCAATCTCTGCCTTCCCCACACACCTCTAGCAAGATCAGGGCAGCAGGCACGTGAAATTCTGCTCCACTGCATTTCAGTGGCATTCAGTCACGCTCAGTGTGTAACCCCGCAATCTGTTTAGACATCAGAGTTTAGAGCCAGAGGAGCCTGGGGCAGAGCCCTGCTTACACCAGAAGAGACAGTTTGCCAGCAAGGCTCTTAGCTGCTTTCCAGAAGAGAATAAGCAAGAGCAGTAAAGCAATCCCACCCCATTTCCCTCGGCATAAACTACACCACCACATACTCTTTCTACCAGCATAACCTTTCCCTGAACAGGGCAGACAACAGCATCCTCCCATCCCATCCAACTAATTTCTCTGTGCTGGGAAGATATTTCAGCACAGACCAGGCCAAAAAGACAATGATACTTGAATACAGCCGTGTGACACAAGAGATGCATTGCTCCTGTGAAGGCTCTTGTTGCTACTAGAAACCAGATGGGGGGAAGGGACAGAAAAGAGAATAATAAACTGGTATTTCTTTACCTATTTGGCTATATTTCTTCTCCTGCATGCGTTTGAGCTGTGTGGGGGCAAGCAGGACCCCCCTGTTTTCTCCACACCCAAAATGCAGTAAGCACTGGCCCAAAGAGTGCTCCCCTACAGGAACTCATGCTCAGGAAGGCAGAAGTAGCACAAAAAGGTGAGGACACAAAGCAAACAGAGCCCCACATACACACTGTCACCAGCAAAGAAGAACACAGAGTGTTCAGATGCTAAAAACCACCTCTCCCTAATACAAGAAGCGAGGTCTACAAATAAATGATCAAAGGACCCCACATGTAGCATTAGCAGCCAAAGACATCAT